TGAGGGGCAGAGGGTCTGAGTGTTCATGAGCTGCATGCACCGGCATGTCCCCTGATGTGCAGGAGGTCATCGGTTTGTGTGAAAACACAAGCAAGAATATATGCAAATTAGGCACGATTGCACCGAGACTGAGTGAGCAACATAGTCATTCATTGTAGATGACAGGAGTGGATGGACGAATCCCTTTTGCAAGTCGCTGAGAAACGACAAACTATAAGATGTATATTCGGAGCAAAAAATATTCTAACACAGGTTACGCACAGGCTTCCAAGACTGGACAGGACCCAAACAAGACAAGTAAATAATGGGTCCCTAAGCACGTCCATAACAACCTTTTCCACGTGCATAGATCCACGTCAAATGGCCATCACCTTGGAACTATCACAAACATTTTAACCGGAGAGATGCTGTTGAACTAAGATTGCAGTTGTAAAAATATCCTATCCTAATCCTTGTAAAAATAGTATGAGTTCAGAATGCGCGTGTTTAATGAAGTGATACATATATATGCACATGAATATATATATATATATATATATATATACATATGTTGGAATATTTGGCAAAATCCTTTCTTTATACATGTTTGACTAAAAATACCTGCCGACTCAGCACTGACGAGCTTTTTGACGCATCGTTCTAGTTTCCGGGCCTTGGCTTGGCATTATCGCTTAGATTAAAGATGGTTCGCAAAATTACTCGTATATTAATCGCTCCTTACCTTCTAACGTTTCGAGATTCTATCTCATTGTCGGAGAAGATTGAATGGCACAAGAAATACGTTTTTAGTTTTAAAGGATAAAAAATTGTGCACTACTACTGGAAAGCATCTTTTGGTACCGAGAACACAAATGAAGCATGGCTAATGAAGAAAGACAGAGTCCATTTACAAGATACATATAGAACACTCATAATGGGAACACTACAAAGACACAATAAGAACACTATTGCCATATTCACATCAATAGTGTTCACCGGTCACTACCTAATAGTTCAGGGTTGTGCAAGAATTGTTTGTCTGTTAGGGCCGGAGAGAGTTCGTTAATGCGTCATAATTCATCAAGTCGTTGGCGTCATAAGGTCCTTCATTAGACTTGCATTTAAGCACTGCTCTAATTGTACAGGACTACATTCAGAATTGGTTAGAATCAGACAGATTTTGGTGAACAACAGTTTTTCAAATCCTGACGTTAAAAACGAAATACCACGACCTATGACAAGATAACTTGACAGAAGACCAAGACAACGCATCTAACCAGCCTTCAAACTATTTATCAACAATCAAATGAAATCGCCCACAAACAAGACGAAAAACCTTTACGGGAAATTTATCTCGACGTGGTAGAGACAAAAACGACCACAAAATAGATATCGTCATTTATTATCGTAATAAGACAATATCTAACTTTCTGGTGAGAGACAGCCCAGACAAACCCGACAAACTAAAATGCACCAATGTAGTGCATCATTCGGATGCAGCATCGAAGGCTGCAACTTCGTTCACACACTACATTGGTGTGACCACAACACTCATGTACGCCTAACAATGCATTTACGTCACGGGGCACCACTGGACCACACGCGACACTAGCACGGCATGACATTGAAGCAACAACTGACAGAAGACACTGAATCTTACGACGTTTTAATGACAGAGACGCCTTCAATTTGAGAAGGCATATTCATTAACGAACTCCCTCCTGCGCTAAACAGACAGACAAATTCTTGCACAACTCTTGAACTAGTTGGTTTGGGCGATGAGCACTATTGATGTGATTGTGCCAATAGTTCTCTTGTGCTTTTTGTGGAGTGTTCCCTTATGAGTGTTTCTTATTATATATATATATATTATATATAATATATATATATATATATGCATGTATGTATATTGTATGCATGATGTATCCTGTAAATAGGACTGTCTTACTTCAATAAGTCAGTTTCATTTGTGTTCTCCGTACCAAAAGATGATTTCCAATAGCAGTGCACAATTTATTATATATATATATATATATATATAATATATATATATATATATACATATATATATATATATGTACACAAATCCTGGCTTGTACCTAGATAGATTTTTCCGATGTGATCCACCTAAATGTACCGCTCTAAGCGATAATAGCCTAGAGAATGTTGGTGAGGAGGCCGACCTTTGCCTGTCGCTGGAAATCGCAGGAAAATGGATGCCGAATATAGAAAGCCGGAAAGAGCCAAACCATGGATTAAACAGATAGCTATCAGTACCATACAGGTGGCTGGGATTACAATGCTAAGGTATTTGCAGCCTTATTGCCCGGTGGAGAAGTACATACATAAGTATGGAAGGCTATAATTATTCATAGGAATGTCCGTAACTTGTTCAGTTGCACTAGCGGGTAACATTATTCACATAATGAGAGAAGTAGTATAGCGTTATTCTCAGAGAAAAAACAGGATAATGGAGGTATAGTTGGGTTGATATTGCGGCAACATGCCTTGTGGAGAGATAACTACAAATGAAGGCCATGCGATTGTACTTGGCTGGCGAGAGTGTCCTAAGGTACCGCCCTCCCATAACGTGAGCTCTCGCCCAAAGAGAAAGTTCAACCTCCACTAAACTGCAGCGTCGCTGGCCGTTCTCCGAACGCGCCCCGCGCTTCTTCGGCGTCAGCTGGTGACAGCCGTGCACCAAGGCTACCGTGGTCTGCTGTGCCGGTCGCTCCATGCCTCAGTGGTGTACCACGCCCGGCTCCGCGACAGGTTCTCTACCCTATATCGGGCGTACGAGACCGGCGGCACGCCAGCCGCCGCCACAGGCACGGCGTGGTCGCGAAAGTCCGCAGCCAAGCTGTGAGGCTCGACGATTCGCACTGATTTGTGGGACAACATTGCGCTTTGCCAGTCGACGCCTGTCAATGCGTGTCGTGCTCTTGCATCGAGCAGCGCTCCAGATGCATAGGTGATGTGGTTCTGAGACGTGGCGCCGATTTTTGTTCTGGTGGGCGTATTGCGTGACGGCAGGAATGGCCAGAACAAAAGGTGGCACTGAAGCAATGCGACTGCTATTGGCTGGCGAGTGTTTATGCTGCATGTGTTCGGCTTGTAGACTTGTCATTGCTCTCACTCACAAAGGGTCGAAGGCTTGGTTGAATGACGAGCCCTTGGGCGCGGCTAGCGAGTACTTGATGTACTCATCCTTGAGGGGCACCACATACACGTGGCAGGTGCGGTTGCTGGAGTAGTAGTCGGCCATCATCATGGCGTTCAGCTTGGACACCTCGTCGATGTAGACGTACGCTGTGATTATAGAAGGCGATGTCTTGCATGTAGGTATACATTGCTCCCAAACGCCATTAGATGACGCATTCGACCTGGACATTTGCCATCGGCAGGCGAGACGTTACTGTTGGCATGAAAATAGAGACGCTTAATTGATAAAAATGTTCTGGCACTTTCTATTGCATTCGTAAATTTGATTCCTTTAAATTTCAATGGGGAGCATGAAGGCAAAATACTTGTATTATGAACGCCAAACGAAAGGTGCAGAATGAAACGTATTTTTCCATTGCAACTAGTGCATCACTATCATCTCATCGTGTCCACAACCTCATGCTAACACCCACCTGAACTGCGGACTTTGTCAATAGTCTTGGACGCCGGTTCGTCGGGACTGATGAAGGAGCCCTTCCCGGCCCTTCTCATCCCCATGAGGACGTCGGAGCTGTTGACGTACATCTGGATGCTGTCCCCTGTAATGTATAACACAAACAAGCGCGTCAGAATTAATGACTATCCTAGTGCAGCTGGATGCTGCTGTTACATATACGCAGCAGACAGAAGTAGACATCAGATGGCGGGCTGTCGCGTCAGAGTGGGCATTCCAGACCGCCAGGTGGCGTCTTGTCTCCGTATTTCGAATATGCTTGCCCGTTGGACGTTAGATCATCCGCAGCCCGCAGGTAATGCGAGATATTGCCCAGTTTAGTCAGGGCTACTCAGATCAAATGAACGATTCAATCCGCATCCAAATAATATTTGCAGTCATAAGCACCCGCAAGTAAGGATTCCCTCCGCAGCTACGGCAAGGTAAAGGTCTTACATCAATACATCATCACGTCATATCGACAGCCCATATGCTCCAAAGATTTGTTTCGAAGAAACGCTCTGCTGCCAAACGATGAATCGCCTTGGCCGGCATGCTTCGGCAAGCGCGTGGCCTGCGCGTGCTGTTGTAGCGATGCAGGTGCTAGGCGCATAAACCCCGTCACTGTCCAGTTAATGGCGTATATGGTCTCGTTGCCTGAGCATCGCTTTCACGTGCATTTTTTCGTACGACCCTTCGGCAAGAAAGACTGTCCAATGCCTGTCCAAAACTTATGTAACACTAGTCCGGATACACGATGTCTTGAAGTCCGCCTTAGGCAACCTCCAAAGTCAGCCTAAGACAATGCCCACCTCACCGTGACCATTCTATATCCCAACACAGGCGTTAATCAGGGCTGCAGACGTCCACCTACCGCGCGACCGGTTCGAGCGAGCGCTCCAGACCCGTTTACCACCAGCTGACCGCTGCGGGGATGGACACGTCACCCCCCGACGACCGCTTGGCCCTCGACGCGGCGAACGGCGTCCCTTTCTCATATGGCGTGCTCGAACTCGTCTGCACGGAAGGATACAAAAATAGGCTTGGAAGCTCAAGGCACGGATTCATTTCGTGTATGAAGATTTTTGTCCTCAGATATTGAAAAATATACGTCATCCACCACAGAAGCGGATGTTGTCAGTAAATTGGTAAAATTGCCACGCTTCACGGCGATGAGCCACCTCATGACCTGTTACCGATTCAGACTGTTTGGTAAAACAGTATGGCAAACCGGGAAAAAGCCAACATTGCGACAGGACAGGCGTTAAAAAGGGGCCGACAGGTGTAGAGCTGACTCGGTCATGACTAACGCCCCCAATGCCTCATTACCTCGGTCCAGTGCAGGAGCTGGCCTGCACGTGATGCAGGTACGGCGCATCACTCTTGAAAATGAACACCAGACACAGTCCATGTACGTAGAGGACCTTCCTTCACTGGTTCAATATGCGTTATGTAATACGTAAGGATAAACGGCTTTCTGTGTCAGTACAGACCTCTTCCCAATGACATCTCAGACCGGTCCGCGACACCCTGGACTCATCGCAGATGGAGTGCATCAGGCCTCGTGTGTCGCGTCTGGTCCGCCTCGGGGTCGAACACCGGGTCACAGGGTCACGGCCGGGTTACACCGAGATGCATAGCGGTCGTATCGGTGGCACACGAGCCTAGGATCAAACCGTGTCAGGTGACACCCGGCGTCCTGACCAAGGCGTGTCAGGTGACACCCGGCTCTTAGGCTGAGACGTGTCAGACGACACCAAGCGGCTGGACGGATACGTATCAGGTGACACCTAGCGCCCTGAATGAGACGTGTCAGGTGACACCCGGCTCCTTGACTGAGACGTGTCATGTGATACCAAGCGGCTAGACAGATACGTTATCAGGTGACACCCAGCGCCCTGACCGAGACGTATCAGGTGACACCCAGTGCCCGGACCGAGCATTCGAGTCATAACATTTGATGTGGTTCGGTGGCTTTTTATGAGGCACGTACTGTACATGCGGCCGCTATGCTAAGCATCCTGGCACGCCTAATTGCACGTGCATTCCATGCAGCACCTATATGGGTCTCGCCAGTGGATATACAATCAAATTACGGACAAAAGAGGGGGGACTATTGGTATGGTGCCTGCAAAACAACAAAGACAACGAAACACTGACCTTCAAATACGTGCGACCCAAATGATTTGGCCAGCATTGACGCCAGTCGATGTGGTATGGCCCCGAACTTTTTTCACGAGCACATCAGGCAATGCATGGATGAGCTCCTTGTTATCAAGCGGTTGCGTGAGTTACTAAACAAAGTGCACGTGCATGAACAAATAAGAGAACAAAAACAAAACATGCAAACGCGAAAAGAGCTAGGGCATTACACCAGCAAAATTGTTGTACGCAGTACAGGAATGAGAATGATGATTTCCCATTGGACACCCATGGAAAAACTACAGCTTTTCATGATTTTAAGAAATAATACAATTAAGATTGCTCATTTTCACCGCTGTTTTAGATAAAACTTCCTGCAACTGCCTGGTGCATGCATTTGCTATGTTTGTCAGTACCGCAGCGTCCCATTCTGCTCGCGTTTGCGTTAACAGGATTGGCATGACATTGGTGCGCGAGGGCACACACGCCGGCGGAGTGCCATCTTCTCACCTCGCGGCGGCATCCAAGACTTCTGATTACTATCGATGTCGTCAATGCTGTCGACGGGAATCTTCAGATCGGAGAAGGTCATGTAGGGGCCGTCAGGTTGGCCGTGTAGAACGCCGTTTACCACCGTGATGAAGATCCACCATGGTGCGAACAGCATTCGAGACGAGTCTGGAGCGGTGCAGCCAATGAGCGCGTTCCAGTGGGAGGGTGGGCGCAGACGAGTCTGCTGCGGCGTTGATTCGCTGCGTGTTTGCTGCAGGCTGAGAAGGGTCGTAAGCCATAATGTTTTATCTTGAAGCAGAAGAGCCGTCGCCACCGACTGCAGATCGTTAGTTAAAATTTGCGGTACGAAACATATCACTAATCTTGGTACGAGCCATGTCTACGGCAACACACACTCACACACGCACACACACACACACGCACACACACACACACACACACACACAAACACACACACACACACACACACACACACATATATATAGATATATATATATATTATATATATATATAATATTTGTATATTATATATATATCCCTCTCTCCTTCTCTCTCCCTCTCTCCTCTCCATCTCGTCTCCCTCTCTCGCCTCCCTCCCTCTCTGCTCCCCCTCTCTCCTCTCGCCTTTCTCCCCTCGCCCTCTCCCTCTCTCCCCGTCTCTCACTCCCCTCTCTCCCTCGTCCCTTTCCTCTCTCTCTCGTCTCTCTCTCCCTCTCCGTCTCTCTCCCCCACGCACCTGTGACGGGTAGAGGGACGAGCCCTGCTTCATCAGCGCGCCGTATACAAACCAGACGCATGAGCCCAGCGGAATGATGCGGTTCAGGTGTTTGTCGCTCGTCGCCACCACACACGGAAGCGGATGATGCCCCAGATCAACGGGCCCATGACGAGCATCGAGATCAGGATCATGATCCAGACCTGACGGGAGGTGCAAGCGCAGGTGGCCTGTCAGATGTCTCGACTTTCGACGCGAAGCGACAGGGCGAGCAAATCTGGACATTAAATGTTGGGAGCGCCAAACCCATGCAAACCGGGTGGAGCTTGTGATGCAGCTCTTTCCATTAAACCACGCCGTCTTGGGCTATTGCGCATCATCATTTTACGAGCCTGTCATGCTGTTGTCGGATACTACGGATCACTGTAAAGCAGCTGAACGTATGTCAGGTGAACTTATACCTTGTTGCTGAATGGAGCGAGAAGCGAGTCGTCCCTTGTTTCTGCCTTTGGTCTTTCTATTAATAGTCCAATCTGGGAGTAGCCGATCGTTTCGCCAAAGGACACTAAGTCGAGACGTTCATTTGATGACACCAGAAAAGTTTCCAGTCATGTCCACTTCCTGAAACGTTAAAGGTCGCATGAGTATTAGAAAGCCTGCCTCTTCTCCGACGGTCTGGGACAACTTGCACTGTGCTCGCTGTCCATCAGTACATGAAACATATCTTAGCCATGTTTGATACTGACTGATACTGTTTGCCATGCTAGTACTCGGACTCAAACTAATGACTTTTTGGACTAGACTGGTGTAAATCGATTCATTTTAGGACTGAATCGGGCTCGGATTCACCAGGTTAAGGAAATGTACACTTTGGGAAAATACTCAAAACTCATGACACTGCCCGGGTGTCGATATGCCTTCTTTTGTGAGGGCTCTGCCCCTCCCCCCCCCCCCCCCCCCCTGTTGAGTTGGGCCTCGAATGTTGGCTTGGTCCGCCAATGTTTTTGGCTGAATGCTACAATATCGTGGGTAAAAGATGATTATAATACAAAGACTGTCTTCTTTGATCTTTCTGCGTAGTGGCGTCTCGTACCACTCTCATAACAAAAAGTCATGGTTGCTCTCACCACAAGATACAAATCGTAACAGCTGAGCGGATAAACGATGCAATAAACTTCACATACCTAGAGCCATAAGACACGCAATGGTTTGTGAGGTTAAAGCGAAAAGCTCTGGAATATGGAGATGACCTAAGTCCTTCATGGCTAACCCCGTCCCCGTCCCCCACAACCAAAATGCGTGCCGCCTCCCATGACCACCATAAAAGAGCGCCATCGGCGCCCTAAGGTGGCCTCTAAAGGGGCGCCTTCACGTGCCGATCAGAAGAGACGCATGCGTCCAATGCCTGCCGCCTGGATCCAACCCTGCATGACTTCTATACTGCTTAAATTAAAGGCTTTTATAAATTATGCAAAGGTTAAAAGCATATATTGTGTTTAACCAAAAATAAAGAGGGTTAAATCCGGTTGAAAAAATGGGGATGGGGTGGGGTGGAGGTGGGGTGGGTTGTCGGCCTTCGGTTCGCCCCCCCCCGCCCCCAATAGCTTATAAAAACTGGCACACCTGGGTCACTGGGACTCGGATTCAAACCCAGAAATTTTACCTAGGGCTCACATAAGTTTCTATTATTAAATCGACAATCATGGTTGAATAAAAACGTTTTAACATTAAACAATTTTGTGTTGCCCTACCTCAAAATGGGTATTCATCACTGTCCTGTCCATGCCCATGTCCCCCGATTGCGTTAAATGCCAGACGGTTGAGAAGAATGAGGGGGTGCAGGCACGTTGGGGTCACATCACGCCCCACGAGTTTTCTTTTCTGCGACAGTCCGCCAGCCGGTGCAAGTAATGAGCTTGTCCCGACATTTTCGTGGACAGGTGGCAGAGCTAGTGGTGTCCACTGGAATCCTTGAGCTCGCAGCAACCCTCGTCAGCCGCGTGAGTCCTCCACCAAAGAAGGGTGGTTGATAACGCCTCTTCTGACGAAACAAACGGACAAGCGGCTCTCCAGAAAGGAGCTGTCATTCTTGGAAGGCCGCTGACCTGCCTGAGCAACTATCCGGCGGAAAATTTTCGGTCTGGGAAGGGTCGCTCACCTCCCTGGACAGCTATCTGGTGGGCTGTGCTTCTAGGCGGGCCCAATCGCCCCCCTGACCAGGTATCCTGCAGGAGCTGTCAGGGACCGCTCACCTCCCTGAGTATCTGTCTTGTGGGAAGCTGTCTGGGACCGCTCACCTCCCTGAGTAGCTGTCCGGTGAGGCCTCCCCAGCCGCCGGCCGCGTCAGGGACGCCGCCGCTCGGATTCGCCGACGGGTACGTACTCCGGCGTGAAGTTGTAGACGGACGCCAGGATGTTGATGACGCGGAACGACCAGCGGTCTGGCTGCTGTGTCGAGTTCAGATAGGCGGCAGTCGGCATCTGGGACGGAAACAACGGATGCCCAGCCAAGATCAGCTGAAGGCCCAGGCATGACAAACCACGTTTGACCTGGCTAGGCCATTTCCCGCTGGACAAACGGGACCTCAGGGGGCTTCCCTGGAGTTATCTAGGGATTGCCTTAAAACTAATGGACGGATGACGCTGAGCATTGTGGCATTGTGCCAATGGCACCAGCCTAATGCAGTTAACTGGCGATGATAAGTGAGCTACTCGGTGGCGCATGTTCACCGTGACCAAACGTGCTCCTCACCAAATTTGCATCAGCGCCAGATCGAACATACCATGCACACACACACACACACACACACACACCACAACACACAACACACACACACACACACACAACACACACACACACACACACACACACACACACACGCACACACACACACACGCACACACACACACACACACACACACACACACACACACACACACACACACACACACACACACACACACACACACATATATATATATATATATATATATATATATATATATATATATATATATATATATATGTCCTCAGTACACACACACACACACACACACACATATATATATATATATATATATATATATATATATATATATATATATATATATATATATATATATGCCTGACGGATGTACATCGTCTGATGTGGTCCCGCGCGGCCACCTGGTGGCGCGGTGGCCGGGCAGGAGAGCGGCCGCACCTCCTTCACGCCGAGCCGAATGGTGCGGTTCTGCATGTCCCTGGTGACGCTGGGTCGCATCCACTGTATCAGCTGGCCGTCCGTCAGGCGGAGATAGTCGTTTGTTGCCGCACAGGCCTCGCTGTAGCCTGTAACAGCCGTGGCCAGAACCTCAGTACGTGGCAGGATGTCGGCTACTATCTGGCGGGCGAGGAAGGTCGTCCACCTCCACCTGAGCCTGACCGCGGGCTGCGCTGCTCAGCATAACTTTCGAAGTAAAAACATCGGCGATCCATGTCTAATGACAATAGCAGCTTCAAAAAACTAGGTACAAAAAACAGAGAGCGAAAACGCAAATACATTCTGGGTTATATTGCCCTGATATAAACGAGCACAACAAGGGCATCAATAACAAAACTAAACAAGTTTCCAAGGACACGTTAGTACCGGATACACGAGTGAAGAAATTAGTTATAGAAGGGCCTGGATATTACTCAGTCTAACTTGCACACGCCTAAGGATGCTGACAATGGTAATACCGCTCTATGTACTCGCCAAGCTGGCCGGTAAGAACTGGCAGCGCCGGTCGCAGTGGCATGGCGGAGAACTGTGTCACTTGCTGACGGTGTTGACCGTTGCGGACTGGCCATCACCCACCTGACGTCTTCCCGGCTGTTACGAACTCGTGCTGATGACCATTACCGGCTGATGGTGTTGACCGTTATCTACTGATAGTGTTGACTGTTATGGACTGGTGGTGTTGGCAATCATGAAATGACGATAAGATTCGCTAACCACTTGGGCCTCCGTTAATCTAGTTAATCTTCTTAATTTATGGGCGGTTAGTATTGTGTTTAAGCAGGTAAATCAGAGGGTGGAAGCCCAAGTGCATTTTGGCTACTACTTTCTGGTCGTGCTGTCAGCGGTGCAGCTTTCACATCTTTAGCAGCAGAACGTCCTATCAGTAACGGCACCTGCCGCATACCTTGCGTCGCCGTCGGATGTGAAGTGAGCAAGGTGAGTTCAGAAGATTATCTGTTTCTCTTCAGCAACTGATAATGGTTGTACCAGTCGCACTGTCTCTGGATGTAAGAAGGAAGTGGAAGAAGGCAGTCAGAGCCAGAGCAACGAAGGACTGTAGCATACAAAGGGCGGGTAACGCCTTCTTCCGCCGACAGTTCCTTCCATGCCTCACCCCAAGGTTAGTGCTAAGTTTTCCAAGGAAGGTGGTAAGACACCGCACACCTGGTCCTTCGTTCATACGATTATGAACGAAAGTGTTGACACAAGGCTGCAAGTTAAAATCTAAAACAAACATTGGAGCCTGATCAGAGGATCTTACTCAATCCCGGGTCCCTACCCAAGGACGATAATACCTTTCACTGGAGGACGCCAAAGAATAGGCAATACCTAACACGAACAGCTCTTGATCGTACGGGCGAAAAGTCTGTGCTGCGTCTCAAACCCAGGGCTATAGATCTGACAAGAAACCAGAAACAAACTGACCAGCGCTGCCCCGAGGAGAGAGCCTAGAGCTCTCGTCCCCAGCTACGGCATGCCAACAAAATAACCGTCACTTCATCAGTTCACGTCCTTCACCTGTCAGCCCGGTCTGCCTTTTTCTCTTTGCCCCGGAAGCCATTCGACACGAGAGTGCACTTCGTCAGACAGATAGCGTGTCTGCGTTGTTAAACGGTGCCTCCCATCTATTCCCATTTGTCGAGCGACTTTTCAGGTAGCCTGACCTTGTTCATGAGCTAAGTGGGTAATAAAGAAGCAAACGATTTCGTGGAGTGCTTCCGAATGCCGCCGGCTCCAGCCAGCTACGAGGACGAGGGGGCGTAGTAGATACAGTAGAACACAAAGGTGAATGCGTCTGGAGTTTGTTGTCAGGTGTTAGTGTAATTCGCACAGGCCAATGTCATTCACTGTCAGAAACAGTCAAGGTTGTTCAGTGATTTGTAATTAATCGTCTGCTAAGCCTGGGCGTCCAGGACGTTAGGCGTCTCCCTGACCAGGAACGCATCAACATCGGATACACCGGCGGAGAAATTAGGAATAGAAGGACATAACATCGATGAATATTTAGTGGGGGGCTTTTGTCGGCCTGCACTAGTGATAGTTTGTCCGTACTGACAGGCAGTTTGGCCCGTTACGAGCACACGGTGTTGACTGTTACCCGCTGGCGGCGCTGACCGCTCCGAACGGATAGTGTCGTCAGCAAGGGACTTAAGGGATTGATCGCCACGTATGTGTAGTGCCTACCGTTGCATTTGATCGTGCTGGTCGTTGCCGACTGCCGGTGTTGATCGTTATGGATTTATCGTTTAGACAGTTATGCGTGATGGTGTTGATCATTGCAAAGTAATGGTGTTGACCGTTATGGACTGAATACATGAACGATTACAGACTATTGGACTGACCGATGCAGACTATTGCATTGACCGCTACAGATTGTTGAAATGATCGCTGTGCACCAAGGATGCTGACCGCTGCTTACTGATGGTGTGAGCTGTTGGGTTCTACTACGGACTGATGGTTTTGCCGGCAGCCATATAATTGCACTATTGACCGCAGTGAATCAAAGGTGTTTGCAGTGATCGATCAATTATCTCGACCGTTATGAATTAACGGTGTTGTCCGCTACAGACCGATATGTGCGCCGCTGCGGGGTAAGGGCGTCCACCTATATAAACTAATGGTATCGACTGTTATGGACGGATGATTTTGACCGTTTCGCACTGACTGTGTTGGCCGCTCAGACCTGATGTGTTGACCGATGCGGATTGAGGGTTTTAGCTTCCATAGACTGGTGATGTTGACTGTTATGGACCGTTACGCAAATTGACGTCGTTGACCGCCATGGATTGAGGATGTGGACCGCTAAGCAGAATGATGATGTAGATCGTATGAACTAAAGGTGTAGGCCATTTCGGACTCATGTTGCGCACCGTTACGCACTAGCGGTGCTAACCATTGTGGACCGATAGTTTGAGTGCTATGGACTAAAGATGTTGGTCATTATGGCCTGGCGGTGTTGACTGTTATGGATCAACGGCGCCAACCGCTAAGGAGCTATGGTGCTGACCATTGTGAACTAGTGCGCTGAGGTCAAAGCACTGATGATGTTGACCTTTGTGATCCGATGGTGTTGACAGTTATGAATTAATCCCTTTCATGCATTAGACTTCGATTAAAATCCATATGGGTAGGCTCATTCGGCCCGGCAACATATCAGACCCTGTGACACCGATTTTGAGAGTCTTTCTAAGCAAAGCTTGCGGTGCGGGCGGCGCGCTCAGAAAACCGTCAGAAGTAAATAAGGGCAAATGTTATAACTAAGGGTGAGCCTATACTTGTACCCTTAATGTCATCTGAGTGACATATAACACGGTTGCACACGGTTTCCTTCGCTCGGCAATGCATTTGCTCAATTTCGATGCCACTTTTATCCAGTGAATACAGCTGTTGCACATGAATACGAAACTGGCTATTATTCATATCGGTCACAATCTCCTCCGAAGGTTTGGGCCCTTCAGAGGTCCACACCAGGGCTGCCCTCTGTCCCGGCCGCCATACGTTCCGGTCACAGAAACGCTGGCCATTCAAACTCGAGGCGCGCCAGCCGCGACGGATGGTGCGTCAACCGCACAAACGTGGCCCGCCAGCCGCGGCGAGTGGTGCGTCAACCGCACAAACGTGGTGCGCCAGCCGCGACGAGTGGTGCGTCAACCACACAAACGTGGTGCGCAGATCGCACGGCGAGTGGTGCGTCAATCACACAAACGTGGTGCGCCGACCACACGGCGAGTGGTGCGTCAACCGCACAAACGTGGCGCGTCAGCCGCGACGAGTGGTGCGTCAACCACACAAACGTGGTGCGCCGACCGCACGGTGAGTGGTGCGTCAACCGCACAACGTGGCGCGCTGACCGCACGGCGAGTGGTGCGTCAACCACACAAACGTGGTGCGCAGATCGCACGGCGAGTGGTGCGTCAACCACACAAACGTGGCGCGCCAGCCGCGACGAGTGGTGCGTCAACCACACAAACGTGGCGCGCCAGCCGCGACGAGTGGTGCGTCAACCACACAAACATAGTACGCCAGCCACGGCGAGTGGTGCGTCAACCGCACAAACGTGGTACGCCAGCCGCGGCGAGTGGTGTGTCAACCGCACAAACGTGGCGCGCCAGCCGCGACGAGTGGTGCGTCAACCACACAAACGTGGTGCGCTAGCGGCGACGAGTGGTGCGTCAACCGCACAAACGTGGCGCGCCAGCCGCGACGAGTGGTGCGTCAACCGCACAAACGTGGCGCGCCAGCCGCGACGAGTGGTGCGTCAACCACACAAATGTGGCGCGCCAGCCGCGACGAGTGGTGCGTCAACCACACAAACGTGGTGCGCCAGCCGCGACGAGTGGTGCGTCAACCACACAAACGTGGTGCGCTAGCAGCGACGAGTCATCACAACCGGCGCGGAGCTACGAGTGTTTCAGTTCGCTGGCGGTCGCTTCGTGTTTGTTCAAAATGCCTGCGCAGCGCGCGCTGGAATGGACGTCGTGATATCAACTGGACACGGCTCAGGCCTGCATAACAAGTGGGACAGAAGTCTTTTGATGCGACTAGGGCGAAAGCAGGAATCAAACTATGGCATCTGAGAATACAGAGGGTCCCTATGCGCAGCGAAGTCCAGCTCGTATGTTCTCGGAAGTAGCGTTCGGAAGCCCACTGCTTAAATACGCTGGAATCCAGAGGGCTACAGTTTCAGACATGGGCTGGCGCAGGAGAAATACACAGCTGGTCAAACAGAACCCCCCACTTTGCAAGCTTCAGTCACAAATTAGCTCGCAGGTAAAGCGGTTAACAAGTTGCACTTGTAGCGTATACTTTGTGGCGACTAACAATGTACAATCGCTACAATACCGTATCACCAGTACTTTATTCCCATCCAAACGGTACCTTTCATCCAGAAGCGTTATCGACGGCCCCAATTGTATTAAGTGCCGCAGGTAGAGAAGGCCTAATCCGTTTAAGCGTGAAAACAGTCTTATTTGGACGCTTTGAGACGCCCAAAGTGCATCACTATTGGGAAATACCATGTACAATCAACAGAATGGAGCCCTTTCATAGCATGCGTACAAAACTGTTT